AAAAAAAAAACAACAAAAAACAAAAAAAAAACCAAGAATATATTTTTGTTGTTACCGGGTTCAGCTTGTGGCAGTGTTATTCCTTCCTCCCAGAATGATGCACTTTTTAGTGACACTGTGTCATTTCTAATGCAAAACAAATGTAGAAGAAAAAAATTATTCGGGATATCACTCGTAAGTTGTCCTCTCCATTAGGACACTGGAAGTATCGTGTTAGTTTCCCTGTGTTGATGTGGGCTCACCTTTGGATAAAGAACTCGTTTGCAGGATCATTGAAGGTCCCTGATGTCACCCAGTTATCGATGAACTCGAAACATGGGCGAGCCGTGTCTAGAAATACTCGAAGCAATATGGAAACCTGAATATATAAATTGAAATTGGAATTTAGAGGCTTTACAAAGGGAGGAAACCCGTAGAACCTGGAGAAAAAACATAGAATCCCGCAAGAGACCTGACAGACTCTACTCACATCATTGTGTGAAGGCGAGTATAGGAATAGAATCCGAGACCTCAGAGGTAAATGAATAAACAAATAAACAAACAAACAAACGAATAAATAAACAAACAAATGAATAAACAAACAAACAAACAAGCAAGTAAACAAATAAATAAATAAACAAACAAACAAGCAAGCAATCAAACAAATAACCAAATAAATAAATAAACAAACAAACAAACAAATAAATATCTTTATTTAAGTGTCTTGTCGTTCTAGCGCTTTCGCACTAATTGGGGACACTTTTCACTCACACACACTACCACTACATTAAATGTTCTATGCTCAACTCACATGTTGATTTTTACGGAGGGAGGAAACCGGAGAAAACCCTCGTAGCATAGGAGAGAACAACACATCAAACAAACTCAATTCACATGTGGCGACCGCAGGGCTCGAACTAGCGACCCGACCCGTTGGACTCACAGTGGTGAAAGACGACGCGTTAGCAGCGTACAACACCCAGGTGAGAGACAAGAGCACTAATGCTATGCGTAAACCATGTGAATAGTGTCATACCTTCCATTTTGCCGATGATCCTAATGCATCAGATATACGTATGTTATGATAGAAAGCATCCAAGAGATGGGAAACTCTCTGTTATATAAAATACACAGCAAAGTACGTTAATGACACGGTGTGAGTGCTATGTTAATATTATTAAATGGAGACCATATCAAACGTACATTCATACTAATTTTTTCTCTTTTCGACAATTTTATATCTCCTGAGAATTGGAAAAATATCGTTTGTCCTCCACATTGACATTTTCGGCTTTGGCTTAATGTTTCCCCATTTCAGACCACGTGTCGTTCTCTAGAGTATAATTGATTTGTTTAATGATTGTGCAATAGAAGACACATGAATATCGATACAACTCAAACAAATAATCTTTTATTCAAAGAAGAATGAAATCTAGTCCGAAATGGGAAAGCATTACACTCACTTGAGCCGAAAAGGTCTATTGAGCTGTATTCCGAAGTACTGTAGGAGGTGTACAACGAGCTTAAGGGATGATAAGACCAGGTGTGACTAAAGGTTATATATCTCATGCACCCTACACTGTACCACGTCCATATTGGAAATCAGCATATCGTTGTATATGTTAGCGTGTTAATCATCATCATCACGTACAGCCTTTTAAGTCTGATGATGCTATTCTTGTAGAATTCTTTTGAACAATTCTCTGTCTTGTAACGCGGTGTCAGTGAAGAAAGAAAAATACTCAAGGTAAGTGAAAAAAAGAGCATACCTGAGGTAAGGGTTTATTCACATGCACAAGCACTCCTTCTTGATATACAGAATGGATTACTGAGATCTGAGGGGGAAAGCAAAAATAAGAAAACGAGAAAATAAAATACTTGCGCTCATTAGACCGATGCCGCCAATTACGCTAATCCAGGTAATTAGGCTATTGTTATCCTGGCAGTATAAATATGACCAATCTGACTTTGTTCTTCACTTGACTCTGAAGATGACTTCCGCTCAGGTTGTCGAAACGTCAGTCACATCAAACAGTCCTTCTCAGGACTACATCCACCCGGATGATCATAATACTTCGAATGCGAATAACATAAAATACTTGATTGCATGAACTATGATTGCATATTTGGAAGCTTTATGAAATAGACTGTCTATGGCATTGCATGGATACAGCATACCGTGGCAATCTTCTCGGCATGCACGCAGCCAAGTGGGGCTGCACACAGACTCAATTGTTTTGGTTTCTGAAATAAGTTTTGACATGTAGCACAACACTCACCTCTTTCATTTTAGTGTCAAGCTTGTCGTGCAAACCCAGCAACGTTACTGTGGCCTCTTCAAAGGAAAAATAATGAAGTTATACAATTATGTAGTTACTGTGTATGATTTTGCAACTAAAAAATGTTATATTTACAAACCTTTTTTGATGATGCTCTTCTCGATGTCAGAAAGAAATGACTTGTATTCCTAGAAGATGATGTACTTACATTATAACCTTCATTCTACTTATAGTCTATTTTGATTTTTTAAAACGTTAATAACGTTTTTAAATGTTAATGGCTAGTCGAAAGAAAATATATTTCCGGTATTGAATTGTCATCGTGACTCTCGTATAATGCGGCAATTCTGACTCGACAGTACTGCAGGTTTATGTTGGCTGCTCTCTCCTAATCAAACTTCAGTCACTGTGATACATTGTACATTGTTATTCCAGTATTCACTTTCACTGTATCAGATAGAAATACCTTAAAGTAGGTCGCAAGTGAGTTAGCAAAGGCTTGCATGGTGATGGATGGTTGTGAAGCATTGATGTCCTCCAAAACAGACGCTTTGAATGCCTGTAGCTCGTGGCTTTGTTCACCCACTGCAGCAAATTTCTTTAGGAAACTCTGTAGTGCATCCTGTGAAAAAGTAGATATTTTAAAGCAAAGATTACAGTTAAAAAAAAATTAAAGCTTTACTGTTAAAATACTAATTACAACCATGCAAAAAAAAAACAAAAAACAAAAACAAAAAACAACATCAAACAACAACAACAAACAACAGCAACAATGAACAAGTACAGCAACGACAAATAAAAAGCAACAATATAAACAACAACAACAGCAGGCAACAAAAGCAAACAACAAGAACAAGAACAACAGTAACAATGAACGACAAGTACAGTACAGCAACATTGAACAACAAGTACTGTACAGCAACGACAAATAAAAAGCAACAATAAAAAGACAGCAACAAACAACAACAGCAGCAGCAACAGCAGCAGCAAAAAAACAGCAACAACAACCAACTAAACAACCAGCAGCAACTTGATAAAGACTGAATGACTATATTTTTTTATTTATCATCAGACTGAGAGAACGAAGTGTATGGCTTACCGAACTTAAGTGAGACACCTGAATGCTGCTATTCACTTGGATCCCTTTGTGATTGTATTTATAAACAAATGATTTCCCGATACCAGATAGTATCCTGTAACAAACCACCAACTGAAATTAAGCCTAGAGCAAATTTTACACGAATGCTAACTTTAAGCTCTGCTATGGGCCGAAGTTATGAATGTGCCTTGCTGTAGTCATAACATTATGGAGTTTCCAAGGGGCAACAAAAGCTTTGTTGCAGTAATGAAGTTGATTGATATCAACAGTTCACCTTAAGAGAATACCCGTCATATTTGTTTTGTTTAGCCCCCTGGCAAGATGGATATGATGCTGTATCACTGGAGTAGTCCATTGGAGCATGCATATATACATGTACTGTATGTGCACCTATAGAGTCATCATCAAGTACGATCCACAATGACAAGGAAATGAGGGTAGGTGCTCATTTGTGGACACAAGTACATGGCTACAGTATTGGATTATGATCTGCTCACCAAATAGTTTCTCTGACAATCTGTGTTTCTGTCAAGACTTTCTTTCCACTAGACTGATGAAAAGGATTTTGACTTTTCTGAAAGGTCTCCCTGGAAATATTCGCAAATGAGAAATGAAAAGTAAATAACAAGAACTAAAATAGAAATGAAAACAAAATAAGAATAGAAGAAGGAATAGCAGAAGAATTGGGAATTCGGAACTTTTAGAAAATAATAGTTCTAAGTATCGTGAAAACTATGGGATAGAATAGAGAGAAGCAAAAAATAAAAAATAAAATAAAATAAAATAAAATAAAAAATAAAAAAAAGGAAATAAGAATGGAAATGGGAAGGCTATTTCATTAGTATGATGTGTAGCTTACAAGTCTTTTGATATATGTTACATTGCATTATTTTGTACATAGTACAATTTCATGTTGGATCTCTAGTTTTCCTTGAAAATGTCTCTGAGTTCTACAGCAATAGCCAACTTTTGATATTTTGGTTGAGTGGTCTAGCTCAAAACAATGCAAGTTGAAGCTCTGGGGAAACAAAAGAATAATTACAATCTTGCTACTGTTTCCCCGGAGCCTTGAATCAGATTGTTTTGTGCTTTATCACTCAACCAGCATATCAAAAGTTGGGTTTTTGATCCTTTGAGGATTTTTAAAATTGGACTGGTCAGATGAGACATCTAAATACGGCTGTGTATTTTTACCAGTCACGACGTATTAATTAATTCTGCAAATAAATACTCAAACTCCCTCTAAACCCTATCGTACCCAGCACGATGAGAAGTGCTGATAGGGCCTCATATCAGGCATCGCCTTTTTCCATATCACGCACGTTCTTTGCAGAATTAAATGATAATATTTTAATACAGTAATTTGTTACTTACCATTTATCAGCAATTGTACATTGGCCATATTTACTAGTATTGTTCAAAGTGGTAGTACTTAGAGGATACTCCTCCCAGTATTGATGTACAACATGTTCTGACAACCACACGCGACCCTGCAACATCAAGGTAATGACTTTTATCAAGTATTATATATTAAGTAAACATATATACAAAGTAGGGGTGACAATATTACCGTATACAATGTTGAGGAAAAGTATTGTCAAAACTTAGAATCACAAGTGGATTTTAGTTAAGGAATGGGTAGAGCAAATAGTAGTCGAATGGGTGGAGAATAGGGAGGGTTGACACTAGAAAAAAAGTTTATAATCATAATTGTAAATACTAGCCCTTTGGTACTTTTTGTCCCTTTACCTGCATGACCATATCCTCCTAGCTTTCACCATGATATGATTCACACCCACTAACCCTCAATCTCTTCTTACCACACATTAATGATTAATGAGTACTGTATATTACATTCTAAAACTCATGAATATTTAACGAGGAGAAAACAAAGCAAATCACTACTGTGACGGTGGTTTGGAAATGTGTTCTTAATTTGCATTAATTTCGTAAACTTTTTCTTTGATTTTCACCAAGAAATATTCATGAGTTTGAAAAGTAATTTGAAACACTTGAGAGAGTTCTTCCTTTGATTTCCAAACACCTCAAAGTCAGTTAAAAAACTTGGCTGCACCTCGTTTTTTTTAAACTCACTTTTTGGTGTTTGGAAATCAAAGGAAGAACTCTCTCGCGTATTTGAAATATTACATCATCCAGCATTGTGCTCAAACTAAAATCTTTGAATCTTTGGACACATTTTCCTTATATCTCAACAGCATTAATTGAACCTCAAGTTTAACAGGCTGGTAATTGAAATTTGTTAATTTAATGTGTTTTATCTCAGTTAACTTTCAAGAATGGTAAATACCTTCTCTGTCAGAGTGGATACTGATGGCTTTTCTGTCTCATACAAAGTGAGGGGTCTTTGATCTTCACTCAATGAAGTATCCACAACACCAGAATCTTCAGGTGCTGTTGATGTGTCTGAATCCTTAATAATATAATRATATAACGAGGACAATTACAGTAATAATAATAATAATCTTTTTTTTGTAAAGCGCAATTAATACAAATCTGTAATGTGTGACCCTACAATGTAATGGTGGGAAAGATGATCTATTAGAGGGAAAAAGAATGGTACATTAAAAACTACTCAGTTGTTTACTGAAATTATTTATAGTGATTGCCAAGTGAATTAGATTTACTGTACTGTAAATTTTTGTATAAAAATTATATCTGCAAGGTTAGCTTGAAAAACTCCTGTTTGACTTCAAAACAACAACAACAAAAAAACATACCAAAATTTCATCATCAGACCAGTCCTGAAAGAAGCAAAAAAGAAACCAATTAATTACTATTTGATGTACAAAATGGTACATTCAGCCAACAAATATTCATCTGCTATAATGATGAAACAGTGCACTTAACCCAATCCCTTTTTTGAGTTAAAAGGGTTTACAGCTTCAAAAGCTATAGATAAACCAAATTGTAAAATGAATTTGAAAACAATACAACTTTGTGCGGTGGAGCAAATCAGAAATCAGAATGTAACATATTGTTTGCATTCTACACGTACAATTTGATTTGTTCTTGCTGTCTAGGGGCCCTAGTCATAGTAGTTGTCCTGTAACTACTTAATAGAAACTCACGTATAAGGGACCACTGTGGGGTATTCCTAGTATTTCCTCTTCAGCATCACCCAACAGATAGGCCTTCCAGTCAAATGTATCTTCATCTTGTAATAGGAATATACAAATAAGAGTCAATACCCAACAAACAATTTCTGATTACAATAAAGCTGTGTTTCTTGATAACAGACTCATTTCCTCAGGGTTACAGTGTAGCCTCATTTCAGCATGACACAAATACTAACAGTAAAGTGAATAATGCACAATTTCAATAACACAAACACTTTGAAATTCTACGGAACTTCACTGGAAGGTGTAAGTATTTTACACAGAATTGAGGCTACATGCAGCTTGAGCAAAGAACTCTAAACTGGAGTATTGAAGTTTCCATTAAAACGAAAAAAAGTATATAGTACCAGATGTAGAGATTTTTTTCTTTGCTTTCCCTTTCATTCATTCCCTTTCTTCCTTCCTTTCATTTGTCTTCCATATTTTTTTGCTTTCTTGAGCTTTTTTTATAATTTCTCTTCCCTTCCTAATAATTACATTTTCCTTCCATAATTTCATTTCATTTTTATTTCTTCCCATTTTATTTCATTCCCATTTTCTTTCCTTTCCTTTCCTTTCCTTTCCTTTCCAGGTTTATGAAAAAATAATTGTCATCACAACATATTATATTTTGAATCACTACTGAGTCTGACCTGTGAGATCAGATGGTTCCTCTCTTGGTTGGTAATCATTGTGGGTCGGTGAGTTGGATAACAGCAACAAGAGTGAGATTAATGAGTAATGTGCATCTGTCTAGAAAGAATTAAATCAAGAAAGCTCTTAGATGATTATTAGTAGGGTGATGCATATGTACCTATATGTTGTATTCTGATCTACTAAATGCCGCATGAAGATTGTTATCATAACGCATGATAGTTGAATAAACAAATCATAGAGAACACAGCGTAATATAACATAATAACCTACATGAAAATGTGGTCAGCATACCACCCCCACAATAATTCTAGCTAGATTAGATTAATAGCAGTTTTCATATGGTCTGTAAAAAGCTCACAGCATGGACTCAGTTGTGACATAGCAAGGCATACTCCAGTCCAATCACATTGCACAAGAATCCACTCTCCATCCAATCAAATAACCAAAACACAGCCAGAACACTGCACAGACACACTAAGGTCACAGCACTAGTTACCAGCAGACCAATCAAATTGTGTGAGAAAATATTAAGCCAATCAAAATTCTTGAAAGTCCGTAGTCTCCCCAATGAGCTATTCACAGTCATACGAGAACTATTGTACTCTGTCAGAGTCTATACCTTAACCTCTTGGGTTGACTGGCTGATTGGAGCGTTCAAAAATTCATCACACAGGTCCTTAAAGGCTTCAGCCTTTTCAAACTGTGRATGAACTTTAAACTTTTGACAAACCCTTGAATAAAAAAAAAGCAAGAATATGCGTGTCAATAAAGCGATTGCAAAAAGGTAAGCAAAGGAAGATCGGATAAAGTATATTTTTGAATCACAATTCCTGAGTTTAGTTCAAGAAGACTTACCCTTCAATTAAACGTGACACTTGAAGGCTGTTGACATCAAGAAAATTATGATACCTGAAGGAAAAAAAAAAAAAATTAGATCGTTTTCTCTTTGATGAGGAACAAAAAGGTAAAAGTTTGCAAACTTACCGAAAATTTGACAAGGCAAACTGAGACGACAAAGTGAAGTTTCGGGAAGATTTCTGGAAAATTGCGTTAAATAAAAGTTAACTCTGTGTTGCAATGTAATTCAATATGAATTAAAAAATAAATCTACCTTGAATTTAGTCAGTCGAGAGACCAGATTCTCCGTTAGCGCAGTGATTTTTGTGTCTTTGAGAGAAATAGGCGCCATTTTCTGGCCACCATCTTGTTTTCTAGCATGAGATGCCGCTGACCAATAAAATGAGTCGCCTTTTTATCGTTGGGAAAAAGCTGGAAAATGTCATCTAAAAAACCAATAACGGTAATTTTTAATTCATAATTAGATATTTTTACATTGTGTTCTTATTTCTTTTATCATGAAAAATAATATTTTTTAAATTAAAAATAAAATGTTAAATTTTTTTTATAAATTGTAGAAATTTCTGTTACAATCTATCATGAATTGAAATTATTGGTTTCTAGCGATGTACATTTACTTAGCTTTAATTTAATTATAATTTTAACTTTTCCAATAATAATTTTTTCATTCAGATATTGTTTTACCCTCCCCTCCCTTAGACCAAAAGTTTGTCTACTGGAGTCTGCGATGCCTTTATCCAGCAGTATCACCATTCCGTGCTTATCACATGACTTTAGTATTTCTTCATATTTTTATCACATGAAGAATTCTTCAAGCAAAACTTCACAAAATTCTGACATAAAATGACGGTAAGTCTCATAATTTCTACGCAAAATCAATTCCTTAAATACTAAAGACATATTTACCTCAAAGGTTTTCTTTGGAAGTAACTTTTAACCGTTATTTTCGTCGACAGTCTTATGAGGAGGACGAGAATTTCGGTAGCTACAGTGTCGTAGGTTCTTTTCCAAAAGATTTTGGGTGAGTGATCGTTTGGTTCAGTACCATGTATTCCACTACAGAATACTTGTATATAGTTGATAATTAAGGAAATACCAACTAATATAGCCTGTAAGAAACGGTTTTTCATCGGGTAATGTTTTGACATCGTGGTATTTTTCCTTTTCTTCTTGTGCAGATACGGGCCAGATGAGACAGATGAAATCCCAGTCAATGAAAATAAACCAAGGATCCTATTGATGGGTCTAAGAAGGTAAAGTATAGCACCCCCTCCCCCCTCCCTCTCCCTTAGTACAGTATCCTAAAAATCATGCATTCTGATTGACTGTAAGAGTGGGCAGTGTTTTATATCTCCGAATGAGGTCTGGTATAATAGAATAATGGATTGCTAAACATCAACAAGAAAAAAAGAAAAAAAAAATCAATCCAGATATGGAAAAACTGTGCCTTGGTCTTGAAATTGTACCTTAGTACAACAATCTCTGTCAATACATGTACATGCAAGACCTCAGGCACAGTTTTTCTCTATCTGTAGACCTCCTGGCTAGTAAATAACCTCTATATCAATCATATATCATTAGCTAGACTTATTGGAACTGGAGAAATTTGAATGGTTTTTAATCTGTTCCTGACCATCATTTTGATTGATATTTATTTTACAATAGGAGTGGAAAATCATCAATTCAGAAGGTTGTCTTCCATAAGATGTCACCAAACGAGACATTGTTCTTGGAAAGCACAAGCAAAGTCATTAAAGATGGTATCCTTTACCTATTCACAAAGTCAGAGTCATTTATTAGAGTTTTAAATCAATTAATCCTCCTTTTTTTGGGAGTTTTTACTGCAAAATGTGATGAAATTAAGGTCCATAGTATGTTGTAGCTGTATTACTGTAAATGATCGGTGCAGAAAGTTGCATCCCTTCAAAGTATATTTCTACAACAAACATAGGACATAATTGTAGGAATGGTATACATCAGGGAAACAAAGGCACACAAAAATTACTCTAACTGTGTTTTTGCTTGACCTTCTAGTTCCTTTGTATTATTTAGCACACTTTCTTAGCCACTATATACTTTCTAATCTTTTTCAATAAATAATTTATGTGTTTTTTAGATTTTTTCTTTTATCTAAATTGGGCTCCCTGTGGTCATTTTAAACCTTAACTCTTACAAGATATTTCAAACAGCTCATTTGTTCAGTTCCAGGTGAGTTTATATACTGTATCTGTGAGTTTATAACATTGTCATTCAAAAATGCACACTGTACAGTATATGTATACCTTATTTTATTTTATCAAAATTCCTTGATAAATTGTTTATTTAGATACAATAGTTTCTAACAGACCAGTTTCTACTTCCAAATTACTGCTGTGTTCCTTGATTACAGACTCATTTACTCAGGGTTAGCCTTGAATCAGTGTCTAAATATTTACAAATACCAATGGTAAAGTTAAAGAAAGTACAACTTCAACGATATAAACACTTTGAAATAATTCCATGGACCTTCACTGGAACACATGAATATTCTGCACAAAGTCGAGGCTAACCTTGCACAACAGAGAACTTGAAACTGGAGTAGTGCATATGATAAGCTAGAAACTATTTTCTCCTTTTTTCCTGAAATGGGGAGATTAAAGTGATGATCATCATATTTCAATTTACTTTGAATATTATAATCGTTTTTATTTTAAGGTGATGATCATCATACAGTTTCAATTTACAGTGTTATAATCATTGTTTTTATTGTCTTTGTCATAGATCTGGGATTTCCCAGGACAGATTGACTTCTTTGATCCAGCCTTTGATTCTGAGGTTATTTTTGGAAACTGTGGAGCTTTAGTATTTGTCATTGATGCTCAGGTATTTCACTTGTATACTTTGTAATTAATCGTAAGCTCTACGTTCTGTCAATTTTTCCGTTTTCCTTATTCATACTTTATACACCATTCTCATAATGGCTGACAAATAAACGAAAACGAGGTCTCCCAGTCATTAGTAGTTCACAATAAGATATACAAAAGCACATGAAATGCATTTATAGAAGAAAAGTATAGAAATTGGCCTTTTGTTTATACGTAAGTTTGTGATATCCACCTTTTCGAGCACCCTTGCTCAGCCTTGCAAAATGACTGGTTGACCTCGTTTCTCTGTACTCGTCAGTCATTATGAAAACAGTATACATATTTCTTCCAACTAATGCATGTATCTCTTAAAGGATGATTACATGGAAGCACTAGCCAAACTACACATGACAGTAACAAGGGCATACAAGGTAAAGAATCAATGATCTAACTCCGGCTGTAAATTATGGAGAATGCAATTTCTACCTGTTTCTTACTCTTGCACACCACTCATCATCAGTTCATATTTGTGTTGTTGATAAAAAAGATTTTAGAAAAATGGTTTCTATTAGGGTGTTGTGTCTTGTTGTAAAGATAAAAACACTGCAGCGGGTTTTCAAAGCTGGTTTTTTTATTTATTTTTTACATGGATAACCAAAGCCAGGGTATGCTTACTGTACGCCAGTAATAAACCATTTTCAAGTTCCAAATTACTGCTGTGTTCCTTGATTACAGACTCGTTTACCTAGGGTTTGGAATTTCTGGGGGTAGGGGTTTTTTTTAAAAACTCCCCCACAGGGAAGGGGGGGGGGGGAATATGGATAATTTCTTGAGTTACACAATGAATTGCTGTCAATATGACATATAAATGGTTGTGTGTCATTCTCATGTTCAGGTCAATCCAACTATCAAGTTTGAAGTGTTCATCCATAAAGTAGATGGTTTATCAGATGACCATAAGATAGGTATGAACACTGCCTTTCATGTATATAGTCCTTTCTATTTTAAAAGTATCATGTTTAGAACTCGTATCAAGAGCTGAAAATATTTGTTGCTCAGTTGGTGGTCATGATGACCAGCCAAGTTAATTCTATCTAATAATGGAGTAATACCTTGTTTTTGGCTCAATGTTTACAAACAGTACTTAAGCAGTGTTTAAACAGCATTACAGTGCTGCGTGCCAAACCGTGAACACCCAACAAAGTTTCATACAAGTTTTTAAAAGTTTTTATTGATCTCTTTCATGCGAACCAATTACGTTTTGGGGCTTCACTTTAATGTTTTGATATTGTTACATCGATGCACGAACTCCGCCTATCCAAACATCAAGGTGAAGCGCTGATGTCTAATTGGTTAGAGGGAAAGAGCATAATTAAAACTTGTCAAAAGGTTGTCAAAAAGATGTCAAAAAGATGTCAAAAAAGAAATCAAAAACTTGTAAAGGTGTTCATGTTTTTAATATCACATCATAAACCATCCCAAGACTCTGGCCTAAAGCCACAATTCATTCAGGTGGTAGATTCAATTCTCAATTTGTAAATATATTTAAATACTTGTATTTCTTCAGAAACACAAAGAGACATACATCAGAGAGCTACAGATGAACTAACAGATGCTGGTCTTGAAGGGCTGCATTTAAGGTACTGTACTGTAGCTTTTAATAGATCAGTATTTGTTAATAAAGATCCAAAGGCAGATCTGTGGGATCTGTGATCTTCAGTTATGTAATTCTTTCTCTTTTATTTTCCATTTCAGTTTCTACTTAACAAGTATTTATGATCACTCGATTTTTGAGGTACGTAATTGATATTTGATAAATTTTGATGATACTATGGAGCTATGCTATCGAAGAACAGTGGTGATAACTAGTATAACTAGCATGGAACAGGTCTATTATTAATAAATCATATAAATGCAACAAATAAAACCGCTTTTTCCGTGCTCCATTCTGCAATAAAGCACGCAGGAAGTGGCATAAGCACTAAAGAAGTGTAAGGAGAAACACGAGCCATAGCTGAGTGCTTCTCACACTCCTTGAGTGCTTGTGGCGATTACTATGTGCTTTATTACTGAATGGAGCATGGAAAAGTCTATTTTATTGGTTTTATTATATAGTTACTAGTTTTATTTCGGTATTGAATTTATTCATGCAAAAAGAAAAACGGTCGCAGGATCTAGAAGCACTTCACGTGAGCGGATGACGTCAGCACTGTGCTTCAAAAATTTTTTACTGAATTTGTGTCTTTTCAATTTTGTGGCCGGTCAAGTTGGATGCACACGCAACCTTGAGAAAACGCAGCCTCCTCCGCAGGCTACTCCATATGTTCTCCAAGGAGATGCCTGAAGAGGAACTAGAGAAGACGGTCTATTCAAATTAATTCACTTTTTTTTACACTTATTTTCTTCTTATCTCAGGCATTTAGCAAAGTCGTACAGAAGCTTGTACCACAACTGCCAACCTTGGAAAATCTTCTTAACATTCTTATAATGGTAAGATTTAAAGAGTTGCTAAATTTTATTTACTTTATACCGACCACTTGATTGTTAACTTAGAACCATGAAAGAGCAATCTGCATAGTTTCACTAAAAGAAGAAAGTGTCTGTCTCTTATGCCGGCGCTTGCATGCGTTTGGGTATCATACCCTTAACCTGATTATTTCCTCAAATTGTTTGCCAACACGTGTCTTCTCTTCTTTACCTTCAGAACTCAGGGATAGAAAAAGCTTTTCTATTTGATGTAGTCAGCAAAATCTATGTAGCTACTGATAGGTATGTAACAAGAGGGTTATTCTGCGTCAATAGAAGCATGGGTAGAGTAGCTCACCTCCACAGTAAAATAGGATTCTGAACTAGGTTTCTCACATGAATAGAGTCTTTTGGTTTTCTCCTGTGCTTTAGGCCAGACTCATTGGTTTTCCTCATAAAGGGGGTTATTCTGTGTCATTAGAAGCATGGGTAGAGTCAAATAGAGTTCTGAACTACTGTAGGTTTCTCACATGATAGTTTTTTTAGTTTTCTCCTGTGCTTTAGGCCAGACTCGCTGGTTTTCTTTAAAAAATAACTCTTTTTTTTGTTGTTGCAAATGCCACTGATACATGTATGTCCCATGTGATTTGATGCTCTCAGTCTAAATTGTTACACATGTGACAGTTGAATTGCAAAATGATCATATCTGTAGAGTGGTAAAAATGTTAGCCCTAGGATGAACTCGAAGCTCATAAGAGGAACAACAAACGCTATTACTCAAAAAAAAAAACCATCAGAATTACAAGCCGGTTGAATGGGAGATTCATTAATGGACTTGTCGAACACTGTAATGAGATTTTCGTTGTGGAGTGTGATAATAAGATGATAAGATTTTTCATGACGTCATTAATGGAACCCAAAATAAATCAATCTTATAGTCTGCTTGACCAACATCAAACTTTATGTGCATAAACTTATGATGACTATTTGTTATTAGTTGGGACTGAGTGGATGTATTGAATTGATGGTTTTCGCATCGGCCATGTTGGAGGAACTTAACAAAAGAATTGTCAATGAATTCTTGTTATATCCTCCAACATGGCCACCGTGTCTTTTGTTATTTAATTCTCTTGGGAATGGTTGAAAACCATCAATACAACATGTATCATCATATTCCTTCGTCAGAATGAAAAAGCAAATTTTTGTGGATCAAACAGATTCCTTTGAACAATGGTGTATTGAGTGCTTTTTTCTTCTTTAGTTCTCCTGTAGATATGCAGTCATATGAGTTATGCTGTGATATGATAGATGTGGTCATTGATATCTC